CCAAAATCCTTTCCCGACACTCCCGGTACAACCCGTAACCGCCCCAAATGCAGAAAATCTTCCTTAAAAACGTTGTATGACATAACGTTGTAAAACATAGAGTTTTATTGAGACGAAAACGAACAGCGAAACAAGAAAAGAAGTAATCGGAAGATGCTAGACATTTCATTATTATTTAAATAAATTTTAATTTGATATGAATTTTTCTTACTGACAGATTTCTGGACTCAAGGGACCCGCGGTACAATGCCGGCATAGGCGGGTTTGGTACTTAAAAATTTAATTTCGGTATGGTCGAGATCGGGACTGAATATTAAGTTCCATGCCCATCGCTAAGGCAAAAGCACAGCAATAAAAAAAAATGTGCAAACATTTTGTTACTCGATTGTCCTTGTGTGTGTGAATTAAATTTTTGTGCCCATGCAATGCTTTAATATATACAAACGGAACGAAAGCAGAGCAAATACAAATTTTAATTTATTACTATGTACAAAGGCAAAAGGCTTAAATACATATCGTCGTTCAAAGTACAAAACCGCGTATCAACAAAATGCAAAACCGCGTATTTAAGGTTGCATAAATTATTTTTTTGCGAGTAAAAACACTCATGTTTTAAAATGGTTCTCCTTTTTCTAAAACAATCGTATTTCTGGCTAATAAATTTCAAGACGAATGGACAAGGCTTGAGGCAAGAGCTTATGTGAGCCAATTCAATGCTTGGAAAAAATTTCTGATACGCGGTTTTTTACTTTAAACGACGATATGTATGTATATGTACATGCGTAGCTATACCAATTCCCAATCAACAAATGGAGGAGACTAAAATATATTTGGTCCATAAATGAGCGTCATACATATACATATTTATTTATGTGTAAGGGAAATGAGCTGGGACTAACATAAAAGATGGATTCGTAAATGTATTGCATGTACACGCACGCAGAAACGAGCTCGGAATGAATATTATTGAGAGTGAGCAAAATACACACATAACCATAACTGCTAATGCAATCGAAACTGTATGCATTTTGTCAATGATTGAATGCATCGAAATATATACATATGGCAGAGAAACAACTGCTGCTGCTGCTTTTTATCTACACTATCTATCGCCGCCGAATATTTGGCAGTAAATAGCTCTTACAAAAGTGTGGGCTGCTGATGGGCAATGCATACATACATATGTATGTAGATAGACCATCGTTTTAAAGCAGCCATGCCCAGCGCAGGGCACTGCATATGGAGTTCTGCCAGCGCAGGGCATGACTATTTTAACCCATTTACGCCCAAACAAAAACGGTTGGGATTTTTTTTATATCTAATTTTATTTATGTGATCATAAAAGCCATTTTAAACAAGCTTAGGAATTAAAATTAAAGAAAAAACCTTAAAAGTTAACTTAACATTACTTGACAAAGCATAACGTTTTTTTGCATCCTGTACAATGCCATATTATTTAGTTGCGTTCCAGATGTTTCACGATTTGCAGGTTTTACACGATTTGCAGGAAAAGCTGTATTCTCATAAATAAACCTTATGGAAGGTGGTCACCTGGAACTGGTTTCCTGTAAAACCTGCAGATCGTGAAGCTTATGGAACGCAACTATTATAACCTCATGGCGCAAAGCACAGTTTAGCTGCTTAGGCAACTGGCCTGGGTTATGTCCATTATACCTTGGATCTGCTACGGTAGAACCGGATGGGTGGCTTTTTTCGAACAATGTGTCTTCTAATAGCTAATTGGTAGAAAAGAATCTTCGCTTGACATGTCGACTCCACCGGTTATATATACTCATATCAAGCATGTATGTGGAGATTTATAACCCACCACCATTTCTTACTACGAATATAAACACCTCACATTTTTGATAACAGCGATTTGACAACTCTATATCCCAGATGATCCTATGAGCTTAAAATGATTTTTCCATAATATATGTCAAAGACTTAGTAATAATCTTCAGAACTTGCTATCACCCAGTTTTAGTAGCAAAATATAATCGAAATGTTATGAAATAAACATATATGCAATTTTAGAAAATTACTTCAGAAACTAGCTGAAGTTTTTGACAAAAACTCTGAAACATCATGTCACACAGAGGCCAGATTTTGAACATTTTATCGTTATACGTAATTGCAAGACTATTTTCAACTACGAGAAAGCTTCTCTTTTCCACTAACTCACTTTTCTTTCTCTTATAGTAAAGTATTACTAACATAAATCTCCACAAATAATTTCCGTATCCTTCCTCAAATACCCATAGAAATATTCTGTACGATAGTTCCACTTGTATGATCTATAAGTCCCTGCAGAAATATGTATTATATAAGTTTCAGTATGTAAAGGAGGACCACGCCCTCCTTTTCCAATAACTGCCACTTTTCTACTGAGTATGGGATTGATTTCATATACTATCTCCATACCAAGTTCTAGTTTTTACTGCCACCTCATCCTTATATGCAGTATGAAAAATTCAGTTTGTATGGGAAGTGCCATGCCCCCATGACATAGCCGTATTATTTTTATTCTATAACCATGCTTGGAAAGTCGGAAATAGGTGTCCAAAACTTCGAAATATCGGTACGGCTGTTCTCAAGCTTTCGAACAGAAAAAACTGGCTTTCCAAAAAATTTTATGTATTAGTATAGGTGTGCCCGTTGTACTAAAAAAAACGATAGCTAGCGAAATAGCTGTATAAATCCATCAAATAACAAACTCTTATACTCACTGTTAATAATTTGATTAATTTACTTTTTCCACTTTATAGTAGCGCATATTTTAAGGCAAAGTACAATAATTCAAGCAAAAATCCCAGCTTTTCATGTGGACCACTGTGAAAAGTCGATTTGAAAGTGTCCAAATCCGGTATCCCCAATTATACACTCTGAAAAAAATGTCTAGATTTCCTAGCTAAAAGGTAGGTTACTGATTTCCTACCTCATTATTCGCGAAATTACATGCTCGATTATTCAACGAATAGTTTGTTTAAATTTCGGAATTTTTAGAGTGTAATATAGCTGTTGTGGTGTGCGTAAATTTACTACGAAAGTGTGTACAAGCTACAAAATACACATCTGCCGTAGAATTGTGTAAAGCCGCTAGCAAAAAGGGTTTTTACACAAGAAAATGTGCAAACGAGAAATACATATTCATCGTGTAAATTTACCAAAAAGTTTTAAAAATAAACAAAAATATACTCGATTTTTTGGAGTGTACCTATTTATCTTTTATTCTATCTGAACTGAAATTAATACCAGTAGGCGCAAACTTATTAAACCTATTTCGTTTTAATAACAATATTAAACTTTTAGACGTGGGCTGAATTGGTGTCTTTTATATAGTACAGAGGGCGCAAATGGGTTAAAGCGTACTTTGACGCGCAGTTGCTGTACATATGTACATATCTGCGTTGTCGCAAATTTTCATATTGTGAGCGAAAACTGAGTTTTCCGAATTTATGGAAGGACTTTTTTGCTACCTAAACGCAATCAAACATATGTACACATACATATTTATATCACGAGTGTGCTATATGTAAGACGATCAATTGATGTTTTCCGTCGGTTGTTGTGAGGCACGCGCTTGTTCTATATTTTTGAGGCAATTATGGAAATTGAAGCGTTTGCATACAATATGCCAGCATTTAAAAGCGAATTGGCGCATAGAATGACAGAATTGCGTACTAACAGTACATATGCTGCGTGCACATACATACATATGTATTGCACTTATAGAATGGAGTAGGGTAGCATAGGCATGGATGGAGTGTAAGGTAAGGTAGTGTAGGGTTGAGCTTCCGTATATATGTACACCATTGCGTTGAGCAATTCTGTACGATGCCAAATGAATGGGAACGGCGGAAATGTGGCTTCGTTTATACAATTTAAGCCAGCTATAATTTATGCGGCACTGACAAGTAAACTCATACATACATACGTATGTATATTTGGGTGCTTAGGAATTGGTGCTGGTGGCTGTGCGTGTGTGGACGCATTTTTCACGTATGTTTGTTGTATGTACGTTTTAATTCCATAATATATATTGACTTGCACATATGTACGTGCTTTAAAGCTTAAATAAAATTTAGCATTGAGGGGGGCCGAAAAAACTAAGCCTATTTCCAAATAAAAACATATGTGTGCAGGAATATTAAGCAATTAAATACTGACACATAAGTTTTCAGGTTGGAAAAAATTACATGAAGACTTAGGGTTAGAGGGAAATCAAATGGTTTCAAAATTTTCTACCTCTTGGGATTTTTACTGCGGTCAAAGTGGATGCTCTGAAAAAATTTAAATTATTAAAAAACAAGTAATTTTTAAGCGACTTCAAAAAGGGAGGAATATTTTATTTTTTTTTTTATGAATGTCACCGCATAACTTTGGACCACGTTAACCGATAGCCGTGCCGTACTAATTTTGTTATTGTATCACGAAAAAGTTAACGGTACTCTTAAGTTTTTATATGAGAATGGAAGTCGGTTTTGTTTCTTTTTTTGATTAAAAATTACTGACCAATTAAACAAACCAACCGAGATCAATACTCATTACCTCGCCAGTTTCCTTAATGGTTTTGTATACTTTTTTTCTCAAAGGAGAATAGCTCAGAATGGTCTACTCATTGTGAAAGGAATAAAAACTTTACTCCTACTCTGATCCATCCTACGGAGTTTAGTTGAAAATACTACATAATTTTCGCATAAGTGTGGTCTAAAGTAGAAAAACTTCTATAGTTCTTCCGCATATCGTAGAACCTTTGATTTTCCCTATTTATTAAAAAAAAAAAACTGGATATTAAACTCATCAATAACGGTCAGCAGTCATTAATTTTCACTCGTAATTTTGATTGCAACATTTCCGTTTCTTAAGAACTGCTCATTTATTTATTTGTTCACATACATACATATATACATACATGCATTTGTATGTACATATTTATAAGCTCACAAACCACTTTTCGTACTTTAATTTTTTTTTCCTTTCTACTTCCGCTCTTGCAGAAATACACTGGCAAATGTACGTGCAATGCGTCTGATATCCTAGAAGCAATCAAAGATAATGAAATACTACGTGAAACAATACGCGGCCCACCCGGTCTGCCGGGTAAAGAGGGAAAGACTGGTGCGCCTGGACTCACGGTGAGTATTTGTTAACACTCGAATATACTACATACACATTCTTATATATAATGGGTCATTCCATGGAAAATCGGTCAATCGTTGGAATCGACCATTTTTGGTTTGAATGACTTTTGGTCGCAACTTTTCTCTTAACATATAACAAAATTCGGCCAAAAGAAAAAAATTCAGATTTTTTTTAGAAGGTTAAGCTAAATTCTAAAATTCATAATTAGGGTGCAAGATAATTTTTTTAAATATCCCAAAAGCTATTTTAGTTACCAAAATAATCCTAGTCTAGTATTTAAAAAAAAAAAATAATAAAATAAAAATATTTAAAAAATTTTGTGATTTAAAAAACGTAAAAGCAAAAATTTACTAAATATTTTGGCCCAGTTTTTTTTATAATCTTAAAAGATCTTGAAGTTTTCAAAAAAGTGTGTTTTTTTAGGGCTGATGATTTCACCCGGGTAATGAGCTACCCGGGTACCCGGGTAGCGGGTGAAGCCCTACCCGGGTATTGAATTACCCGGGTAGCCCGGGTACCCGGGTATTTTATAACCCGGGTAGACCCGGGTAGACCGGGTACCCGGGCAGTATGGTAATTACCCGGGTACCCGGGCACCCGAAAAAATGTGGAGAGGTGAAAATTAAACGCATTTACGATCATATAACGCAAACGAACGTACATAGGGAAAATCTATAAGAATCTTCCGTACCATATGGGGAAATATTATAATATACAACACATACATTGCACTTGACAAATCCGTCATTCATCACACAAGCGTACTTCCAAACCCAGCTTGTTTTAGGCATGTCTAAAATATTAATATTTACGAAGTTGGTAAAAAAAAAAAAAAAAAAAAAAAAAATATTTATCCTCACCAAAAAGATTATACAAGAAGCTTTATGTCGCATTACCCGGGTGTTTTTCGTTTAACCGGCACCAACATATGTATATTACCCGGGTACCCGGGCAAATCGGGTAATACCCGACTACCCGGGTAATAAAAGCCCCGGGTAATACCCGGGTAATCGGGTACCCGGGTACCCGGGCATTACCCGAATTACCCGGGTACCCGGGTATCATCAGCCCTAGTTTTTTTTTAAGATAAATTTTTGATTTATGAAAAAAAAAACTCTGAATGAAATAATGCTTAACAATTTTTATTTACTCCCAATTTAAATTCATTTTTAATTCAGAGTTTGAAAAAAAAAGTTTAAGTTTTAAAATTCATATCTTACAAAAACACCTTCTGGAAAATTTCAGGATCTTTTAAGAGCACCTAGAGGTATTTTATACAAAAAAAAGTCAAAATGTACATAAGTTTTTGCTTTTTTAAATTTCAAAATTCCATATTTTTTATTTTCCGAAATTTTGTTTTTAAATGTTTTTTTTTTCTTTTGTATATAGCCACAAATATCAGATTTAAAATGAGATAAGAACCATTTTTGTAGCTATAACAGTTTTTTAGATATTGAAAAAATAAATTTGCAAATGCGCAAAACTTTGAACTTTCAAACAAATTTTTTATTTTGCTTTCTTTGATAGATCTTCATTATATGACAAAAAAAAGTTTTCACAAAAATTTGTTCAAATCAAAAATGGTCGATTCCAACCTATTGTCGATTTTATTTAGATTGACCCATATACATACACACCTATATATGAAGGGGTATGAAATTCCACTATTTCGCAACAACCAAAAGCAAAATCTCACCTGCGCTTACATAAATATGTATGTTCAATACAACTGTACTCAATGTTCGAGCAAATACGCGGCGAGCTGCAACAGTATCTACAACTCAATCAATTTTACGATATACAATGTGCAGCGTGTTCGCTCAAAATCAGAGAGGAATGCACATTAGGGTGCGTCAAATTGCTCGATGCAAAAAAAAACGTGACAATGTTTGCAAAAGTATTATATACATTTCTATGGAAAGTTTTAAAAATATTTGCGTCCAAAAGAAGTTTCAGGCCCACGCAAATCGATATGAAAATTTCTCAAAAAAAAACTACCAACTCTAATGCAAGTGCCTGTTTAACGAATTGTATGCATGTGCATATGCTCGTTTCACTTTTATGCGATTGCACTACATACAAATATATTATTTTATTCTACATTCAGCGCAAATGTGCAGTATTTAGTATTCATGCACATTTATAATTGCGCTAGTATTTGCGTTTGTGTATGTGTGTTATTATTTATATTTATATGAAGGTACATAGTACATTTATTTGTACATATTTTTTTCTTGTCCGCGTGCACTTAATACCAACTTCAAACGGAAGGAAACTCATATGAATTTTTGAAAGTCAACTACAGGAGGTCTTGTGCAAATAAATCATTAGCGGTTAATTGATTGAAATTGAGAGTATTGGTGGAGTGGCCGGAGAAACTGAGAAAGTATGAAAATAAATTGATACAATTTATAGTCGCACTTTCGTAATTAATTTTTAAAAGTTGAGTTAACTTGATGACTTTATTGAGAATGCTGCCAATTAAAAGGGCAATAGGCTCTGATGTTTTCCTTTTTCGAGGAAAAATCATCTTTTCCAATCAGATATATCGGCCAAAAGGATGGGGTCTCCGTGCAGAGAAGAGTGAAGATACATGACTTGATTAATTAAAAAAAAATATTGTACGATGTGATTCAAGAGTATTTTTTTACTAAAATATAATTACATTTTTAAGAGGTTTAGAGAGCTACTTTTTAAATTTCTATTTCTTTATACATATATATATTTTTAGTGCAAAATCGATGCCTTTGTTCCTGCTAATGAATGTTTCCTAATAAAAACTAGTTAAAAATAATTAAAAAGTTCCTCTTAAACAAAAAAAATGCACAGGAAAAATTTGAAATGTTGCCAAAAAAATGGTTGTCGAAATTAAAAATGTTTGTTTTAATTTTTAGAAAAAATTTTAGTATGCAGTATTATGGCCTATTTCGTGCAACAAGGTGGAAGTTTTAAGTGGATAAGATATCGAGTTGATTTTTAATAATTTTTTTTCTAACATTTCAAGCACGTGGCATAAAATGTCTGCACTTTCAGCAAAAAAAAACTAAATATTAAAAATCAATGTACATATATTCTAAGCCACTTTAAACTTGCACTTCATTATACTGAAATTTACTTGGCTATAAAACTGCATACCAAAACCATTTTTTTTTTCATTTTCTTATAACAATTTCAATTAATATCGGGCAATTTTCGCGTATTAAGGGGCCATATAATTATTTAAAAGTAGTTTGTATATTATAATAATTATTATCAGAAAACCAAGAATACATTCACTTCAAAACTGCTACTTTCTCTGCACTTTGCACTAAAAAATTTAAAACAATCTAATAAAATTTAAAAAAAAATAGCTCCTTAGACGTCCTATAAATGTAATTATCCTTTAACTACAAACAAACAAAAAATTAAAATTTGGCAAGAATTGTAGGTTGTAGACATTTTTGAATAGTAAATTTCGTTTTATTCCAGAACGGTTTATATTTCGGTAAGTGAATGGAATTATAACCGTAGTAGATTGGGCTTGCCACCAATCAGTTTAGTCGCATCTAGAGTTGTGTGGAAAATTTTGAGTTCAAAGGGCATTTTCTTGTATCATTTACCAAGCCTATAGCCTTACTTAAGGCGCATAAATAGCGCACTAACTTTAACTAGGCCATGAACGTACTAAGTGCCGTTTCCAGAATGTCTGGTTAAATTTAGCTTACCATAAAACATCTAGTTAAATTTAAATTTCCAGCCCGCCTTCCGCAGGGCCGCCGCTAAGCCTATGCTCTCTTTCAATTATTTTGGTCCGTAATAAATTTCACTTGCTCACCGTGAAAACCAGGCAGTACAATAAAACATGCTTAGCGTTTTTTATCTTACTCGCACACGAAGCACAAACGAGATCGTCTTCTCGTCTAAGATGGTAATTTACGTCCACGTATATATGTATTTACTTCTTAAGAAATAAAGCTGATTGATCTCGTTTATTTTTCTAACCCGAAACCGTGTTCGACCTTGGGGGACTCTTCAACCTGACTGAAGATCGTTCACTTCGTTTGCCAAAAGGTTTGTTGCAACTTTGAGTGTTAACACGCAAATATTCGTATAAGGCAACGTGCGATAAGCTCTGAGCTATGCGAAAAGCAGTTAGCCAAAACAGGAGCAGAATAAAGTATAATTGGGCTTATTACGTTTGAAAGTAATTATCGCCTCTTTTTGATTGGAACGCTTTGTTTGTTCGGCGTGTCAATATTTTGCCCCATCTATGCAAGCTGCTTAGGCAGGGGCGATGTCCCAACGCCTTGATGGCTGATCAGAATCAAAGAGGCAGAGCCTCTTACATGTATCCCAGGCATTTTCAGACTAATCATTCCATCGTATCGTATCTTTTGAAGAGTCGTCAACCAACCTAAAGAGCGTTTGGGAGGAACTCAGCTGTAGAGAAGAATGATCGGTCCCTCCCGCAGAAGGACCCTGCGCTCGTTTTCTTCTTTGATATCAGGGCGCTTTCAATATTGATTTGAGAGGAAAGCAAAGATTGAGGCGTTTGGAGGGGCCAAAGTATGCAGCTCCATTGGAAAAATATGGTATGTTGCTTGGAATCCAAGGTGGCTACGCCCTTCTGGCAAAGAATAGATTGGAGCCGAAATAAGCAGAGAAGGTTTTTTCAATACTTGAATAATATACCAAAGGACAGTTTTTAATTTACTAAATAATCCTAGCGTGTACCCCTATTTATCTAAACGCACTTTCGTCGTGAGAAAATTATGTTCTGCGTTGCAAGCAGAATCGTGTGAAACTTTCGAAAGCGTTACGATATCGGCAATACGCTTCTTTTTTTAACTATAAAATTTAACTCCTTGATGGCGGTTGCTTTTAAACCGCAAGTTAGTTAATCAGATTTGTAAAATACCTTTAATTGATTTGGAACGGAAGCGAGATTTCGACTTGTGTGGCATCAAAGCGAACCAAGACGACTCATATAACCTTAACCTTAATTCACGAAATG